CAGCCATTACCTATTTTAAAACAATCATAATCTTTTGTTTCTATGAATTTCATCACAAATCTTCCAATCTCAGGTTTGTATGATTCTATATTCATGGCAATAGATTATTTTACTAAGATGGCATATTTTGTACTATATACAAAATTTATCATAAGTGAAGAAATGGCTAAGTTTTTTTAAAAAATATCTATCACTATCATGGATTGCCTAAAGATATCATATTAAATAAAAATATTTAATTTATATTAAGATTTTAAAGATAGATATATAACTCTTTTTAGCTTTTCATCTTCAAATTGATGAATAAACAGAATAGGTGAATTAAATTTTGGAGCAATACTAGAGGTATATAATAAACTATCATCAAGATGATTTGACAACTCTTCTACTATTAGCAAAGTATACATATAATGATTTGATATATTCTTATACTCAAAAAATACCTTTGTTTTCTAATAATGGTTATTATCTATGACTTAATATTTTTGACTTTTCAAAAGTGTATAATCTTGTTGTGGAAGATTTGACAATTTTTTTGTTAGAATTATATGCAACTATGAAAGTGCAGTTAAAGGGAGCTCAAGAACAACAAAAAATTAATAAAAGTACCTATTGCAAGAAACAACCACAATTCAACATAAGTAATAAGCTATAATTACTTTATCACAATATTAAGACTACTCGTCTTTATGATAAGTTAGACTGGCATAGGCTTAGACTTTTTTCTATTAGTGAACAAGTCAATGATATTATTTATCGATTATATCTATTGGAATCTATAAAGATCTACCCCTTATTTCATGTTGTCATGTTATAACACGTCTATATGGTGAAAATATAAATAAAAAAAGATATTATTAATATTTAGTCATCTTGGATGTTAGAAACAATGGCCAATTCTAATGCCAATATTTAGGGTCAATTAATGTCACCCCACTGGCGTCATCAAATCAAGTACCCTCCGTACCAACGAGACAACCAAGATCATTTTCCAACCCTACATGGAACAAGCCTAATAGGTATATACCAGTGGAGACACCTAATATGCATGATGGAGTGCAAGAAGACCACTTCGTCATTTTCATTGCAGACAGGTTGGTGATTATGCCAGTAAATGTTCTAATCCCAAAGCCAATGATGATTACACACTAGTGTGTAGGAACTGCAAGCAGTCAAGTCATACTTATCAGCAATATAAGTTCCATCTAATTTCAATAAACGGGATCAACAGATCCAAAGTCAAGAAAAAATTGAGGAGATAAATCAAGGTCCTCAAGATTCTTCGATAAATCGGGTAGAATGAGTCCGAGCCATTCTTACCAGGAGTCGGCAAAACGAGAAAGGACCAATTCAATATTCGGGTGAGTCTGATGTGAAGGGCCAATTTGATCCAATTACGGGGACATCCAATCCAGGTCCTGGTATGGACCTCTTATCCAATATGAGACCTGACTTGGTTGGGCAACCTAATGACGTTCCGAATACAGAGGCTTCAGTTCCATTTCAAGTTGTTCCATTCTCTATGCTGTTTCGGAGAAAATATCCTTTCCATAGAAAGATCCTCTCAGAGACAAGAATTCCGGGGAAGCACCATCGGCTGTTCTAATTCGGAGTCCACGGCGGGAGAAAATGGGACCACACGGAGTTAAAAGGGAGGAGAGGATAAAGAAAGGGGCATTCGGAGATCAAGATTTTGAAATCGAAGAGCTAGTTTCAAGCTCCTCCGAAAGGTGTAGAATTGGATTCATAGGGTTTGGAAGAACTTTGGCAAACGTTGTTGAAAGTCAGTGTTTGTATTCGTGATTTGGATTTTTTTTTGCAATAAAGTTAAGGCTGATAGTCTTGATTGTTTTGTGAAATTGAAGAAACTTCTACAGTTGAAATTTATAGGTGTCTAGAGAATTAAGTATGCCGAGTGCATGCAAAAATTTGTGTTAATCTCATGGAACAGATAGAGGTTATTTGACCATTAGCATAAAAAAATATCAGAAGTTGGCAGATTGGGATTGTTTAGGATTTTTGTAATATCTGGAGATCTACTAACTGGAATAAGGTGACTTTTGGCGTAGTAAGTCGAGGACTTCGAGGCGGCAATCAAGATACATCAGTGTAGATTTATGGCATTTTCTTGCAATCTATAAGTTATATTCGATTGAAACTTCTTGGACATGTAGAAGGCTTGCAAAGACACTAGTAGTAGAAGTTTACAACAATCAGACGGTTAGATTGAGAATTATAGCTTGCCAAAGCTCGCTCTCTAGGATTAGGATTTAAAAATAAAAATAAAAATAAAAATAAAATAATAAAAAAATAAAACTAACAAATAACAAAAGACTTGTACTTATAATATCTTGAAGTTATTAAAAATAATATTTCTAAGTATTTTATAATGGTATTAAGCTTTTACATTGAAATCCGAAATAGTTTGTATTTAGATAGTTGAAACCCACTAGCCTACTCGGATACTTGTAAAACATTGTTTTATCTTCCATAGCCAGATGTCATGTGCGTTCTCAAGTAAGATAATATGTAATACGACATAAGTGGTGAACCCGACGTGAAAGCTTGAGGTAGAAGGTATTGGATTTCATTTATTTTCATTTTATTTTATAGAGAACAAGAATAAAAATTTTGAAGGATCTTTGGAAGGAGCTTTGAGTGGAGCTTCTGGTAGAGTTTCTTCTAAAGGACAAAGTATGTACATAGATCCATCCATTGCTAGTATGTTTCAAGCCTTATCATTATCTATATAGCAACAACAAAGCAATGATTGTAAGAAAGCTTTAGCAACCAAAGCTTTGCAAGCAGTGGTCAATAAAATTGACCTATTTGATATTTCAAAGTATTTAAGATGTTATGTTCAAGAAATAGAATTAAATTGGATTTCTGAGAAGAAGATGGTTGAATTATTTGGACTAGCCATGATACCGGAGATAAGAAAGCATATTACCTCAATTATGGAGCATTATGGAAATTCATGGGAGATTTTTTTACATCCATTAAAAGACAAATATTTCTTGGAGGACACTAATCGGGTTATTATGAAATTATTTCTGGAATGGATTGAGCTGCCTAATAAGAATTTACAAGCAATAGAGCTATTAAGGGAATTTGAAAGGCAGTATTCTCAATTATCGAAGGTAGAAAAATTGACATTAGAGCCGAATAAGGTTGAATTATTTCTTCAAGTTGCTAATAGAGAATTACAAAGAAAATTGGAGTTGCTTCTTGAAGATAAAGAAGAAGATGAAGGATTGACAACAAAGTGGAAAAATGTTGAAAATAAGAAGGATTTGCTTGCAAAAAGAGAAAGGAGGAAGGATATGAGTAATATTCCAAAAGCAATACAAGCATCTAAAATTTCAGTACATACAACACGACCAACAATGCCTACTATTCAACCTTCGACATCTTTATCAAAGAAAAGAGACATGGAGATTGAAGAAATTATACGTGGAATGCGAGATTTGCAAATCAAATTGATTAGACTTGAAGAAAATACTTCTACAAATAAATTGAAGAATGTTTCAAAACAAGGGTATGTACAAAGATGTATTTGGTGTGATGGCGCTTCACATACTAGGAAGGATTGTAATGAATTTAATAATATAATATAGCAAAGAGTTATTTACTGGAAAGATGGAAAGATTACATTAAAGGATACAAAGGATCTCCTTCAAATCAATTTTGGCAAAGGATGTATGAGAGCATTGGTTTAAGATTACTTAATAGAATATGGAATAGCAACACGAGAGAGTGCAAGTTATAGTGCTAGAGTAGATGATGACTTTGGCGGAAGTATAGAAACTAGTGAATTTTGGGTTTCTACCATTTCCACAATGCAAAAGGGAAAAATACCTCAAAAAGCGTTATTGAGGACTGTAGCTGCAATACGAGATACAACAGGTTGGAAAGATCCTGTTGAGTCTCTTTCAATTCATGCATATATTGCTAAGAGCCAACATAAAGCCTTGATGGAAGAAAAGAGACAAGGAAATTTTGATGATACAAGAAAAGGAAATTCTTCTAAGAGGCAGACTCGAGGAAACGAGGCTCGTGAGGCAGTTTCACTAGAATTGCCTATAAAAGATACTTCAACATCATTGGAAGAAAAAAGAAAGTAGACAAAAGATAAAGATAAATGAATTGCTTATAAGTTACTTTCTGATATTGAAGCAGCAACTAATTTAAAAGGGGTGTTGAAAGAACGTATATTAAATGCTAAGGTGGAATTCACATCGAAAGAGATTTTGCGAATTGCAAAGAAGGAGTTTCATGATGTTATCATTGGCAGCATTAAGCAAAAGAGGTAATTAATGGGTGATCAATATTATATCATCTTTGATTTTTTGGCAATAGCCATTCTAGTTCAATATTATATCATCTTCAATATTGAACTAGAATGGCTATTGCCAAAAACAAGAAGACTAGAAAGTCTTGAAATAAGACTAAGGACTAAAAAGACATTGACAAGAATAAAGAAGGCTTCATTCTTGCCTCCATATATACTCTTAACTAGGAGCTATATGGTAATATCCTATAAGACCTCAAAAACGTGTTGACTTTACAAAACACATATTTTAACTTGCAAGGCAAGTTTTCTATAAGTGCGCCACATAATTAACTTGTTCTCCAAGCTACCAACATGTGATTAACTTGTTGACCAAGTTTCTAACCTTCTAATCAACTACAAATGTATGTAAAGTCTAAGCAACATCTATGAAGTTTCTAGAAAGCTTATCTAGAAGATATTATATAACTAACTTGCTTTTATTCATTTTTATCTATTTCTACCTAATCATATAGGTATTCATTAGAATACATATGTATATTTGTGACATTATTCCTCTTTCTAGGAATAAATTCCACGAGGTAATTAAAGAGAGAGAGAAAGAAAAAAAGAAAAAGAAAAGACTAGGATGAATCTTTAGCAGCCGGATGGATGCCAGCTGGATATCTTGGAGGAGGCTGCTGGAGTCCGAGGTAGTTTTGAACCCCGGCCGCATTCTGCTTTCCTCCCCAATTCGGCAGTGTTGCGGTAGAGACCAGCATTGTTGTTTGTATTTTCTTTCTTTTTTTTCTCTTCCATGCGATAGCCGATTCAAAGTCTATGCGTGGCGGAGATTCAACTGCGGTCGACTGGAGTTTGGCTGGTGGTGGCTCGCGTTATTGACGACAGTGTGGCGATGGTTTGAGTTCTTCGATCCTACAATGTTTTGGTGACAATAGCAGTGTTGTTGCGGTCAGTGTTCCCTTCTTGTTCTGATTTTTTTTGTTATGTTCTTTCGGGCTCTGACTGTTACAGTGCTTCTGGTGGTTTGTTTTTGGGGTTTGTGTTCCTTCATCAAGGGCATTATGGGTGTGCTTTTATGCTCCGATCGACTATGTGGTGTGTTTTGTCCTCCTGCACCATGGAGCTCTTGGGGTGCTCTCAGGCGGCATCTTGTTTTTTCTCAAAATGTACGTGTGGTGGCATGGTTGTCGATATCTGATCAATAGCTGCCGATCTTTGAAATGGTTGTTTGGCTAGTAGGGATCAAATTAAACAAATCTAGCGGGAGCACTTCTCTTCCTAGGTCAATCTAAGTAGCGAACGACGACAACAACATTCTAAATCGTTTATCAAACTTCAAATTGGACAGTAGTAGCATACACTTAGTGCAAGAGGGTGAAGCGAATTCAGCAAACAATAGGAAGAAGAAGGTGAGTTGAACTGCCAACGACTGGAGTGCAAAAAATCCTTGACGTTATTCTATTGTTGCAAGTCGAGGTAAAGGAGAAAGAATGACGTTCCTGGTTGCGGTTGGATGGTGCACGGGTCGAGAATGCGACCCGACCCTGATCACAATGTTCAAGTATTAAGCTTCGCATCTTGGGAACTCATGATTTTGTGAAATCATGGAGACATTTGCTGAAGTCTTTTCGTTGTTTTGTGCCGAGGGTTGCACTGTTGTAGAGTAGTTGAATTGCTAGAGGTAGATCAATTGCTGCTAGTATGGTTTTTTTTTCCATATCACCGTCCTGGCCTGTATGCAGGGTCGATATTAGAACTCCGTAAGGCCCAGATTGATACTTAGGATTTTAAAAAAGAGAAAAATAAAATAAAATAAAATACTTGATCTTGCGCTTTGGCTTGAATCGGTGTTAATCTATATATAAAAAAATAAAAATAAAAAATAAAAAAACACATGGAAGCAAGCTATTTAGTCATAACTGTTGTAGCTGCCATGTCGACACCCAAGGTGTTGATTCGAACTTGAAATCTGCCACCATTGCGAGTTGGAGTGTGGAATTGGTAGATTTGTTCGTGCATTGGGCACCTTATTATATCGATTGGTACGGGTTTTATTTTTTTTTTATCTTCAAGTTGGTTGCTGTGATCTGACAAGTGGACGACGGTGGTGGCTTCCTTCAACCGGTGACCAGGCGGTAGAGTGACTAAGCGGAGTGTAGCAGACAAAAGCGAACTCCACCAGGTCGGTGAAGAATCCAGGGCGGGTGACACCGATTAGGATAGCTTTTGGTTGGAAGTGATAAGAAATAAAATAATCAAAACTAGAACTAGGTTAAAAGTAGATGGGTTTTATTTGGATGGAAATTAAATAAAGGATAAATTATTTAATTATAGATGGAATTTAAGCTTACAAATGGATGAGAAGTCATTTGAGGATGAAAAAACACTCACAAATAATTTTATGTTAATGGATGAAAATTAATTAAAATTAAAATTAAAATTAAAATTAAATATAATAAATAATAAGTAATAATAAATAATAATAATGGTTACAAAAAGGAATTTTGGGTATGCATTTTGTGGTAAAAATACTATTAAGAGTGTGAGTTAATTGTAGAAGTTGGGCTTGATTATTTTGTGATTTAAGAGGGTTAAGAGTGATTTAATTATGATTTAAATAAGAGCTAAAATTTCTAAGATTTCCATATTAAATTCACTTTTTGTGAACTAGAATAAACTTCCAACTAGTAGAGGATAATTTTAGCTCACACCTCTAAAATATTTCAATACTTTTAATAAAAACTATAATCTAATATTTACCAAAAACTACAATAAGCTTTGAAATTGTAATTTTTTAACTTGTCAAATTGTAAATAATATATTTTTAAAGATCTTTTAAATTAAGATTTAAAGTACAAGATTATTTATTTATATTCAATTTGTAAATTGAAACAAAAAATTATTTAATTTAAAATATTATAATTTAATATACAAAACTTATATATATATATATATATATATTTAATTATAAAAATACCATTTTATTAGATATTCGTATATTTAACTACTTAAATACAAGACTCGATTACCATTCATCTATTATTTCATTTAAAATTAAATACAAAGATAAAAAAATAATTATTGAATATTATATACATATATATATATATATATATATATATATAAATATATTTTTGATATTTTTATTAATATTATCTTCAAAATTAAACAAAAATAACATCATATAAATTTATATGATGTGTATTATAAATTTGTAGCTCAAAACAACATCATACTTATCATACATAAATTAAAAGTTATTAATAATGTACTTTTTGTAAAATTAAAAATATTTTGAGATTTAAATTATTAAAATTAATAATATATATACATATTACATATAATGTTAAAGTTTATTTCCAAAATAATTTTATACTAAACTAATTAAGTATTAGAACTTATATACATATTAATATCAAATTATTATAAAATAGTATAACTTTTATACTATTGATATTAATCAAATAAAATTCTTAAATATTTAAGTTTATTAGACTAAAATTTATCAAATCATAATAATTATTAAAAAAATCATAAGTCCAATTAATATATAAGATGTTGTTACTTTTACCACAATTTTTTATATTGTCACCATAGGCTATCTTAAATTTGCATTGTGTACTTCAATAAATTTTATAAAATATTACAAATGCATATCATATTAGGTAAAAAGTACATTCTTTATGCACATATATTTTATTAATCTTTAAAAAGCATTGTGGTGTGCAATGGTAGTCTAGTATATCTTATAGTAGCATTAGCAAAAACTTTGATGACATGTGGTGGATATCAAGTTGAGATGGCATTATCAAAAACTATAATAGTATGTACTAAACAGCAATTTAGAATAGCAATAAAAAAAAATTATAGCAACATTAACAATACTCTATTTATATGTATAGATATATATATATATTAGCAATGCATCTTTAATACTTAACAATTAAAAAATATTCTCTTTTTAATATATTTTTTAAAAATAAAAGACATAAATTATATAAATAAAAATAAATCTAATATATTTTTAGACAAATTTTCTTATTGTTGTTATATGGTGTGATATTCTATTAGGAAATATATTAGATACCTAGCTATAGAAAGTTTAATTTTAACTTATTGGCCAAGCTTCAATAAGTAATTTATTCTTATTATAAAAAGATAATTAAATGCATCAATATAAAAAGGTATATTAATAATTAAAACCTTTTATATTTAAGAAGATTTATACACAAGGCTTTCTAAAGCTTCTAGAAATGTCCTAACATCCTTTGCTATACCAAATCATAACTAATTATTTGCTGATAAGTTAGATTTTTCATAAGCTCAAAGAAATCCTATAATCTCCTTACAAAAATCCATCTTTATACCATAATTTTGCCATAACTCTATATCTCTATCTTCAACATATATATATAAAGTCTTAACTTCCAAAAATCCCTTTATTTTGCATAAAATGTCCAAATTGTTATAAAACCCTTTCAAAATATTTTTCACTTGCAAAATTTTTTTTCTCCAAACTTTAGAAATCCATATCTCTTAATTCAATTATTCAATTTTTTTCAAAATTTTAAATAATATAAACTTTATTCTTAATATTTTTTAAAAAAATAAAAATAAAAATAAATAAATAAATAAATTGTAAATCTACTATAGATTGATTGGCATCTTAGAAGTCCTAGCATGTGTTCTATACCCTAATTTACAAGCATCCAAATACTATTTTCTTCATATCTCAAAAATCCCAAATTCAAATGCTATAAAATTTGTATACAAAGTTTAGTAATATGATAATATACATTTTTGGAAATTTTGAACCAAAATATTATCAAATTGCTCAAGATATAGCTCAAAACACAACTAATAGTAAATCACGTCAATTATTGCTCTTAGATTGCAAGTGCTTCAATTTCTTATATCTCCTTCATTCCAACTTAAAATTCATCAAGTTATATGTAAAAAGTGTAGTTAAAATAATACTCTCTTTGATCCTACTTGCCAATCCTTCATTGCCTTTTGTATACAAGCGTTATGTCCAAAAGAGTGACAATAGACACAAAATCAACACCTTAACTTTGAGCACTTATATCTCTTTCGTAAAAACTTCAAATCACTCAAAATTTATACTATAACTATAGCAAAAATCCTAAACTTCTTGATCCTAGCCTCCTAAGTTCAAATGCCCTTGAAAGAATAACCTTAATTCCTAATAAGGCCATTGGCAACCTCCTTGAAGTCTATTTGCCAATAAGAATGGAGATTTTTATCATCCATCTCCATTCATCTATATGATTGACCTAAGTACTTTTTTTTACACAAAAATCCTTCTTTAATCCTTTTTCTAATAAGTTTTGCATAGTATGTGCCCTAAACACCAAATAAAAGAAACAAAACAAGATTTCAAGAGTCACCAATGTCTAATAAAGGTGACTCCAAATATGTAAAAACTATTATTAACATAAAATCAACCTCAATAATAGCCCTTTTAAACTAATTACTTCAATGTAGTAATTTAATTACATTTTTTGACCAACTAAAGTCTAATAACATGGCTCTCACTATATTATATAGTAAATTATATAAAATATATATGTACATTATTTTCACATCATAGCCTAACCACAACACAACAATGTTTGATAGTTTGAGACCATAAATTGATTAATTTGGTTTTTTTTTTTAAATCAAAGACTATATATTATATTATATAAAATTCAAAGACAATAATATTCCTATTTGATATATGTGGCTAATATAAATATATAAATTTATTGAAAAATCAATAAATTGAAATATTTTTTATGTATTCATTTTTAATTGTATAAAATATATTTATTTATTTTTAAAAATACTTATAAAATATACATATAATATTTAATAATTTTATAATAATAATATATTTCATTCTTTAAGGCTCAAATTAGATCTTTTTATTTTAATTGTATGAAAAAAATAATCTATAAGTATATGTTACTCAAACTATCAAGACTATGTATGGTATCCACCAAAAAATTAAAATAGAATACAATAAAAATTACATTACAAAAGAAAAAGAAAAAGAAATTGCATGTATTCATATCTCCAATGGATTCCACAGTTTGCAATAATTCCAAATGTTGTTTATTGGTAACTTCTTTTTTCTTTTTTCTTTTCAGACTGGGGAATTTATTATTCAAATATACCTTGAATTTGGCATCATTAAATTATTATCTGTTAAATAAGTTTGACATCAAGATAATAAGTATACAAAAAGCTACCTGGTTAAGAAAATGTTTACAAAGGGAATCGTTTATGAAGGTTCACGTCAAAATATTAAAGTCCTTCAAAACCAGTCATACTATATTTATATTTTATGAGCGGATGGATATATGAATGAAATCCATCGTATGATGTATGCTTCATTCATCTACTTCCATGTTAGGTCCACGGAGAATCTGGATTGGGGAAGGCGATCAAGGAGGAACAGCAGCAGCGTTGCCATGGCATGGAACGCATTGCGTCGCAGCAGCAGCAGCCGTGAATCGATCCACCGTGTTGTGAGCTGACACTATCAATGATCTGCATTCTTATGCCATGTATCAGAGTGCGCCCCGCTACGCCCTTGATTTGCGCCTCCTTCACTCCGTTCCGCCGGAGAGCGATTGCTTTGAAAACGGAGAATCCATCTCGCGGCGATAGAAGTGCAATTCACGCCCAGTGGCCGATATCGTGGGTCCGATAGTCCTGGTTCTGCCACGCCCTGTAACCCAGTACAGTGCCGCTGCGGGTGTCTTCGACTCACAGCCAAAGCTGTCAACGATCCTTTTTCTTAGATTGCGTTTTTTTGACTAAATTCCACATAGCGGCATCTTAAATCATTGCGGAGACTGGAGAGAGATGGGGAGGGAATTAGCTGAAACTGCATTGGAGCGGGGTTGCAGTCTCCCCGGGCGAGATTCAAACCGCCGTTGTGTACCTCCCGCCGGAGTAGGTCGAATCTCATCCAGGTCCCCTCACGCTCTATTCTGGTCCCTTTCTCAGCCGAGTCCAATCGCATGATTTGTCTCCGTCGTCGCAGCAAACCGTCTTCGAATCACCTCGTTTCTCGTTCTGCTTAGATCGGCGCAGAGGGTCGGGAGAGTCCTGGGCCTCAGCAACGCTCTCAAAGGCAGCATCAGACACTCTCATCGCCGCGAGGCGCCGCCACGAAATAAATTCCCGCGCTGCTGCTGATGACATGAAGCTGGAACATTTTACCCGGGAAAAATCATTTAAGAAGGCAGGAGGCGTGGCTTGAAGACGCTTACGCATTATTGGAAGCGAATATTGATGAAATTTTAAGGTAGTTGGATCCTGTTTATAGAATGTGACTTAATTACCAATAGTATAAAATATTGCAAGTTTTACTACTACCACTATTCTACACAGCTTTTTGTTGCTTTAGTAAAAGTTACCATAACATGGGTGTTCACCAAAACTTCATTCATATTCCTGTTTCATCTACATTTTGGGAGATCTATTTCAGCAAATAGTATTGAATATCAAGATATCGTATTTAACATTGAAAAGGAAAAAGGAGAAAAGTACTGATCATGTCAAATGCAATTTTTTTTGTAATCGTTGTGATGTTGATTTTTGTCTATTCTGTTCTAATACCTTGTTCACATATTTTAATGTTCATTCATTTTCATTTTTTAAATCAAGTGGTTGTTCTGTGAATGGCACTTCTGCAATATCAAATACATATTGAAAGTAATGTTATGTATGTCTGTGCGTATAAATGTACGTACATGTGAAGTTGTTGAAATGCAATTATTTACATACTTATTATTATTATATCTTATTTCTGAATCTGAATTACCAACAAAATATATATATATATATATATATATTAGTAAACATTACGGAAAACATAGACCTTATCCAATGTATGCAGTTCTCTGAAAATGTGTACTTTGCAACACCTAGTAATATTTGAATTTGCATTTTTTACCACATTTGTAATTTTATTTTGAAAATGTATATAAGAAAATTGTGCATTAGACTAATAACGGTTTTCTGATATTATGAATATATGTATATGTATATATATAGATGTATATATATATATATATATGTGTGTGTGTGTGTGTGTGTGTGTGTGTTCTTTCACTTATTAAAAACAATACAAGTTAGATGGTGTATAAAAATTGTGCAATGTAAATAATTTGCATTTGATATAAATGATAATGTGCACAGTCAATATCTCATGTCATTGAGACTTAAATTTGTTCTTCTAAAATAACAATTCTGAAGTTATTTTTGATATTAGATGTTGTTCAGTAATTTATGATGCATTATCATTACAAATGAATGTGTGTGTATGTGTAAAAATGAAATAAAACAATAAAACGTATGAAAAATTCTGTTTACATAGTTTAATATGTACATGGTTCCTTTCAGGTGCAACAATGCCAGAAAAAACATCTCTCTCAAATCTTTTGGTCTTTCAAAGTATCCTAATAGGAAACCTGCAACAGCTAATGCAAATGGAAGTAACACTGATGAGACTACTAATAAAATCACTATTTTTATTTAATTGTGTCAATTTTGAGACATCCAAAATCCTTCTGCATCTTTGCAATGCCATTCCAAATTTTTGTTTTTTTGTTTTACTTCTGCCTGTTATTTTATTTTTAAAATATTCATTTTCTGAAAATATAATGTTGCACTCAAAAGATCAAACGGTGTCTTCTAACAGCATGCAAAGGATTGTTTCACCTGTTTCTAACAAAATGTAAGCTGCTCAATTACAGAAGTCTCACCTAATTGAACCAATTTTGCCTCAGCTTGTTGCTTTCACAAATTATTATGTCCTACTGTATGCGATCTCTCTATAACAGATGTCTTTAACTATAACACATTTCTACTTTTTCTCCAACGTTCCAATAAATGTGTTCATGTGTATATGTGTACAAGTAAACAAATAAATAAATAAATATATATATATATATATATATATATATCAAACAAACATAAAATAAAATTACATGAACAATGAAATCATCTATATATATATAATATTCACACAAAATATATAAAGAGAGATAGGAAATTCCTGAAGGTAACAAATGTGCACATTGGCCATATTGTGCAAACTACTCAAAACATGCCCCCCCCCCCTGGAATTGTGGATAAAAACCCCATTAGAATGACGATCAAATATCAGTACCATACTAAAAAAAATAGTAATAAAAACAATGGGTAAGGTTTAAGAAAGGGAATGTGAGTGGTACCATGCATCAAGACTCAAGGCATTCATGCCAAGAGGACCAAGAAGAGAGGACCTACAAAGCAAGGACCAAGAGAGAGAGGGAAAGCAAAAAAAAAAAAAAAAAAAAAAAAAAACGGAAAGAAAAAAGGCATGCAAAGTCAAATGAGGGAAGAAGGTGGAGGGTGGTGGGTTAGGATAAGGGCCCCATGAGGACCACCACCACCAGCAACCCATCACGCCCACTTCATCCATCCATTTGGATGAATGAATGATACCAGGACGGACGAGGAGGAGGTGGTGGATGGACGGTGGGGGTCGGAAAGCGGGACCCGGTTGCTAAAAGGGCAAGGGGCCAAGTGGCGAGCACAGAGAGGGGACAGGTCATGAAAAGGTGCCAGGCTGCTGCCAGGCATTGCCCACATCCACCCCCACCTCTTCTACTTCTACCCCAACCCCTTTCTTACTGCCAGCCAGGCAGGCCGGTGTGGTAACAGTTGTCCATCCAGTGTTAACGAATGAATCTGGATCCATCTACTAAATTCATTCATCCTCCGATGCTTCCAGAAGTCCAGCAACTGTGTGTTGACTCTGGAGATGGTGGGTCAATACGGTGGGCTCTGGCCCACCATGGAATTTCGCGCTTTCCATCTACGGAATTACATTTATGTGTACAATGTACATATAGACCCACAAATTTACACACACACACACACATATATATATATATATATACATGGAGAGATAGAGATAGGTAGGTTTGACGGGTTGGTACTAAAGGGATTCAATATTCCACAAACGTGTGAACATGTTTTCGTTTAAATGTTTTTTAAATGTATGCTTTGCTGGTTAGGCTTCTACATTCAGATAGTTAATAATATAATAGTAATAAGTGTGGATTGTTTTGAATGAATCTTAGTTTTTTGTTTAATGTAAGTGATAAAAGAGAACATTGTACACAAAGACATGCCAAGTTGTTGCATAGCCATAACATAAGTGTATAAACATGTTGTTTTGTACAATGATGTAAACTTGCTATACTTGAGAGTAGAAAAAGGCACATGCTTTCAAATTGTTTACAGTATTGTTGTTTGTTAAAGCCAAATCTAAACTTTAGTGAGTTGATTTGCATTTTCAAAAATGATTTAAATGGGTAATGTTTTTTCTTTTTCTTTTCTTTCAGCATCTTCACATGAATACTATTTGAAAGTGTATAAATGGAATGTGTTTCTGAAAGAAGTTCTCAATCATGTATGTATATACAAAAACGTATACATATTCATACACTCCCACACCCCTGCTGAAAAGAAAAATCGAAAAGGCAGAAAAAGTGAATCGAGAAAAAGTGATCGGCTCAAACTATATATAAAAGTCGCCTAATAGGGAAAAATAGAAACTACCACCACCTTCGTCCACCAAAACAACAATGACTCCAAGCAGGATGTCGTCTCACGACGCGAACAAGGGAATAATAAACAAAATCTAGCGGAATCCCAAAATAGCACAAAGCCCATAGGTACGTGAGGGTATGTCCAAATCAAGGTCAAAAGGAGAAGTTGACGGGGAGGTTGAAGAGGGCGGGAGGGACAAACGAACGAATGAACAAACAATAATAGATGAATGAATAGAAGGATGAATGAAACCAGGAACAGTAAGTACGCAGGTGAGCATGGGGGATGAGATCGATCCCTTGACGCAGCATCCAGCGGGAAACAGCTTGCAAAGCTATAGGCCAGTCAGTATCTCGATACCAGTAAAACTCCCACTTACCGCCGCTGGGGTCGCCACAAGTGTATGAAGTGGCATGGAAGCTGCGACCCTGCGGAGCTCCAACTCACCCACATTCCCCCCACACCCCTACTTGGCGTATCAACACCGGCTTGGTCGCGATGCTGATTCCAAAGCAGCTCTCTGCTGCGTCGATTCTTATAGTTTCCTAGGATGGATGAAAGTGGGTTATTATTTATTTATAGTTATTTCTATTTCTCACCGGGTGACAACGCTCGCCGCTCTGGAGCTGGTTAATTACAGGGGTGGCGGATTTGATGCCATAACGTGGGTTTGGATGTGCGCAGGGTGAAAATGGAGCTGCCCTGCGGAGCCAGCAGGAGGAGGGAGGTCGACGTCTTTACGCGGAATGGGAAGTTACCTATTGCGGAGTTGACCCACTGCGACGAGAGGGAGGTGCGGTGGGGTGGGGTCGGGGAGGGAAGGAGGGGGGAGGTAAGGACTGGGAAACAATTGGGCTCCTGGTGGTGGTGAATGATATGCATAAGAGCTTGCTGTGTAGGAGAGGAAAGAACATGGGTTTCCTGAAAGAGTGGCGACCGTTCCTCCCTCCCTAACTCTCACTTTAGCCTTCCACTCTCGAGCTGCACTCAGCGCTCTTTGCTACTTGTGCCTGACACAGCCCTCTCTTGTAGCGAAACTACTTGTTCTCTACTGCATTTCGTCTTGGACCCGTCCTTCAGGCCATTCCTGATCTCCCCTTCCCGTTGGATCTCCATCTCTACCAGGAACCTTCAGGTTAGCTTTACCTCGCTCGGACATGCCTCCATCTCCGTGCTGCAGTTCTCGCTGTATGCGCCGCACCGGTTGTGCTTGCTGTATAGTCACGCATTGTGGATCGCGCTTGTTCTCATAGTTCGGGCATAGCACTGTTACACTGTTTATGTTTTCTACGGGTCGTTTGTGTGTCAACATAGGTCGAAAGCTTTCACTTGCGAGTCGATGATGTGAGACGTTGATAAACCGAGGCCCGTCTGTTTGATAGCTCGATGCCAGTACCTGAGTTTGACGAGTAGTACACAATAGAAACCTTCGTTATTCCTCACGAAATAATAGCTGGGAATTAGTTTCAGAGATCTGCATTTCGTTCCCTGCGATCAAAACAATCGAAGATCAGAGGGGATGTCGCTCGTTTCTTATTTTGAAATTTGGCTATCGAATGAATTGCCATTATAATATTGCTTTAATCTATGATTCGCCTTGCCCACAGATTGAGGAGTGGAGCTAGTACAAGAAGATAACCAGTCCAGCTGAGCTGGCTCACGGTTTTCACGATCATTGACCCCCCTAATGACCGCGCTCAGTCTGATGGCAGTTAGAAACAATGCTGTCCGGTACCGTGCTGCCGCGGACATCCTCCTATTCGCACTTATCGTGGTAGCAGCAGTGGCTGAAGCTCCATCCGCAGATCCCAATGCAACCTCTGAGGAAGACAGATGGGTTCACGCATCCCGTGCACTTCCATTTCATTTGTTTGTGAAAAGCACCCTCCACGTCAACAGCAAGTTTCTCGTTGTGGATCAAGCCCCCGACGTCAAGTACCACAATGGACCCATTTTGACAGGAGATAGGAGATCTACCCTCAAAGTGCATGTGGTGTTCTACGGATCTTGGAGCCGAGCCCAAAAGGCTATCATTCAATCGTTCTTGAGCTCTTTCTCTGCTCCTAAGGCAGCGAGGAATTTTCCAACTGTCCAGGGATGGTGGGCAATCACCAGGGGATTCAAGAATACCAGGAAGGTGTCTGTCGCGCCGTATGTTGTACTCGGTAGCCAGGTTCACGACTGGAAATACAGTCTAGGTAAGAGATTGAAGCAGACATACATCGAGAAGCTAGTGGTTTCATCACTTAAGAATGGGTTGGCGCTTGACGCTTCTGGTTTGTATATCGTTCTCACTTCTCAGGATGTTAGCGTCCAAGGATTTTGCAGCTCCTTGTGTGGCACTCATTCCGTTATCCCTGCACAAACGCTCAGCAAAATGAACAAGCTTCCATATGTGTGGGTTGGTAACTCAGCCAAGTTCTGTGGTGGATACTGCGCATGGCCGTTTTTTAAGCCATTGCCAGGAACTGGATTTGATGTTCCCCCGTTGAAATCCCCTAATGGTGACGCGGGAGTGGATGGAATGATCATCAACATTGGAGCCATGATTGCCGGCGCTGCCACTAACCCTTACGGCCGCGGGTACTTCCAGGGCGATCCCGCAGACCCTCTGGAGGTTGCAGGAGTATGCGCAGGAATTTATGGAGCTAACTCTTTCCCTGGAATGCCCGGGGACCTCCTCAAGGATTCTCGCGGTGCTAGCTTCAATGTGTACGGTGCTAACCGCCGTAAATTCCTTGTGCCATGGATGTACAGTCCAAGGACCAAGCAGTGCGCGGGTCAGGCATAACTTGCTCCCCACAATAATACGACGCGTGATTCGACCGACTAATGCTTTCGTTTGCCTTCTTGGTGACCCAAGGCGTTCTGCGCGCCACAATTTAGTCCTGGTGAATGGCATGTGTAGATTTGTTAACAATCCACTACAATTTTTCTTTTTTCTCTTTTTTTTTTTTTTTTTTTTCATCTCTGTCCCCCCCTCCCCCCCAATGTGTACACGCTTGGAAGTAGGACTATTACTTGGTGTTCGCCCTTAGCAAGTGTGGGCTGGCTATTTTGCTAACTTCCCCACAAAGCAAGACTGGACTACTCTTAGCCGTTTCCATTAGAAAGACCTGGCTGATTGTCGCCTGTCCAATGTGAAACGCTGTCAGATCAATGCATAGTGAACTCTCTGCAAGTTGATGCAAAGCATACTCTGCGCAAGAGCAAATCATGGTTTCCTTAAGTAATAATTATTCGATGCGTTATGCATCAAACTACAAACCTATTGATTGGTGCGTGCAATGGACATGTCATCTTGAAATTGGTGATGATAATCCACCTTTCTTTGTTCTATCTTACTCCACAGTGTTTTCCTTTCTATCGTCGTTTAAGTTGCCCAAGCGTCCACCCACTGCTGATTGACAAAAACATAATTCTTTTATTTCCTTGACTTGTAACCGCCTTGATGAACTCCTTACAGAAAAAACAAATCTCCACACTAATACATGGCATGATCCACTTCACTCAAAGGAATGATGAGTAAACATGCCTAAATTGTAGGTGAGGCTGAAAACAAGGGAGTGCTCGTCGCTCCTCTAAATACAGCGTTTGGTACATGTGGGACACGAAGTTATTCCAGAAATTTAGCCCTAGTATGTGCAGTTCCCCGAAGTGGAGTCATCCTATGATTGTGAATGAATGCCGCAGTCTGAGATTAGAATGGCGTTAGCTGTGTTTTACCTGTACAATCTCATTCCTCCGGATTGCGCCTGCCTCTGGATCCGTGAAGATACTTCATTCTCGTTGACATCCTCTTCTCCCTCTTGCTAGTTCAACTGCTACGTCGGCATTTTGTTATTACCTGCACTTCTTCATTGATCACATCTGACTTAACGGTTTGAGAGCAGGGCTGTGGCGTGTCCTGTGCACTGTCAACAACGGTCTCATGAAGTCTCATGAAGAATCCCTACCCTGGTCTCTGCCAACCATGCGCTTGCTCACACATGACTTCATGGACTTATCATTGGCGTGTACTCTGCATTCATATCACCTTGTCACATTATATCTGTAAAGGCAGCTTCTATTCAACCTCTTTCAATTCACACTTCACCATGTGAGGTATTGCACCTTACATCCAATCCACTGTCAATACCACTGTACGATTCTATAGAGCGTAGAGTTTCCAGCTAAGCTTTTCACAGTGCCAGTGTCAATTGCCTTGTTTAAAATGAGAGAATGGCTAACGTAATGGAAAACACATACTACAAAAGCATGAAATAGTGTAAAGCATGCACAGTGAAGTGACGATGAACAATGAGCAGCGAAGACATGGAATCAAATGGACATGCCGGAATGATTTTTTTTTTTTTTTTTTTTTTTTTTTCTTTCAGTTAGAGACATTCACTGTGCCTTGCTCTCTCATCAAGTATTTCAAGAGTTTTCGCTCCTCGTGCCATTTCAATTCTATGGGTACGTGGGGTCGAACAACCATCACGTTTTTTGTGTAATGTATCCCCTGATTAAAACTGGTCGGGTTATAAAATCCTGCATTCATTATGCGTTGCTCGGAAATTGTGTGGCTTTTGAAGTTCAAGTTATATGGCAAATGGTTTTTTTCACTATGTCTGTGTGAGCAATAGCTACAATTTCTGTACTCATACTGAATCATTTGAATGAATTATAAGTGACAATTTGACGGTTGCTACACTGCAAGCTGCTGGAAAAATTGCTCCACGTTTCTAATTTTATCTATTTGGTACTATTATCAGAGAAATAATGGAGTCAAACAGAAGGTTTACTATGTCCATAAATAATCTCACTGCTTTCACGACACAAAAAGTATCAAACATCAAGTGAGAAAGTGGAAGAAAGTAGTAGATGCAAGAAACATCACTGTTTTTTTTTTACAGTCAAATTGATGTGTTAAAGAGTACATACAACAGCAATACTAGGCACAATTAACTTCCTTTCAAACGTAAACCCAGCAATCGCGTCACCCATTTCTACAATCTCAGCTCATTGAAAATTGGATCAACCCTTCCGTCCCACTCCTCTTCATACAACTTTAACATTCTCTCTGCCAACGTAACACCTGCGCCCAGCATTCGTTCCACAAGCAGTTAAGAACTCATACGCGAATTCAGAGCCATGATCTTCGTTAAATTCAATCTAGATGGACTGGGTCAATCATTCAAACAATCACCAATTGGATACCAAATTTCGAAATGGACGAATAAATTACCTGTTGTAGCAACTTCCTCAAGGGGAGCCAAGAACTTGCCCTCCTGAAGGCCTCGTCGAGCCAATCCATCCTTTGCGAGCTTGAGGACATCTTTTGCTACATCCTGCAGCGTACCTTCTCGGAATGGAGTTAGGATTCCTTGATTTGGTACCTCCTTCCGAAGAAATCCACGATCGTCATTACTCCAGTCACGGATGATGTCGAGACAATTCTTTAGTGATTGCTCATCGTACAGCAACCCTACCTGCGTCCACAGTTTGTACACGAGTCCATCAGTGCCAGCTGCATTTACTTTACATTGCATTCTCACACTTAGATTCAATTTACTACCAGGTTACTTAGTACAATAAGAAGAAATATACAGAAGCATGAGAAATCTAGTTCTGAATCCGCATCCGTAGTAACCGTGTTTGCATTGCAAAACTCACCCAGAATGCAGGAAGTGCATTGAGGAAATCCTTCGGACAGCAATCTGCTCCCCTCATTTCCAAGTATTTCTTCAGCCTCACCTCAGGGTACATAGTTCCAAGGTGATTCATCCAGTCATTGAGAGATGGCTTCTCTCCTGGATACGCCTCCAACTTTCCAGCCATAAAATTCTATAATGAAATGCACATACGATTTTCTGTTACCAACAGCACCCATATCCATTACAATCATGTGAGTGACGCATTTGTTTCTCATGATTATTCGATGAAGTGAAACGCTTGGTTACCTTAAACGATGCGCCGGAGACGTCTCTCCAGTTATCGTTGCGGTGCACCATCAACATTGGCACATTCAAGGCATACTCCGTGTATTTCTCAAACCTAGGGAATCACAACCAGGTTACATAATATCATAAGCTCCCACACGAATTTACGATAAACAATCATAACATCAATTTGTAAGGCTAGGTTTATATGGGTATTTTCGACTCACCCAAAGTCGTCATCAAATACGAAGGGTAACTCGCCTGTTCGATCGTCGTCAAATTGTGACCAGAGAAAACTGCCAATGACGATTCTCAAAGCATAAGCAGCAGCTTGTACATTGATGGTTAAACAATGAACACTAACATCCAAAAAAAAATCTATACATTTTAAAGAATTGTGACTAAATTATTTTTATATGCTAATTGACGACTTACCTTCTGTAAGTCTTGTACCCAGCAGGCTTCCCTTCCCAAAAAGGCGAATTCGCAAAAAGCGCCGTTGCAAGCTAATAGGAAAAACGTTAAACGAGCAAGCTGTTAGAGAAAATACGACTCCAATTTTATTTTATTTTATCTATTTATTTAAATTTATTTCAACTAGCGTCTGAAAGTAAAAGACTGCTATGACATGACAAGCCATCACAGAATCTCTGCGTATTTGGTTTCTTTCAATTGAAAGATTCTCATGTAATAAACTCACCGGCTGCAAGGATAGCCCCACTCGGAGCTTGTTGATCATATCCTGCTCTGAATCGAAGTCCAAGTTCACCTATCAAACAAGCCATCAGTAGCATGTCAATATCCACCAGAGCTACAACTTAAATGTGTTGGAAGTTGAAACATTTATTTCAATTAGAACATTTATTGAACAAGATTGTGGGGTCAAGAGGAGTACCTGAGCTGTGCAAGTTTGGTACATGGTTTCAAATCCGACTTCGGTGATTACAATTTTGGGAAAGTAATCTTTTATCACTTGATACCTGGCCTGCAGTTAATACCACCCAACGACAACCAGACAAGAGTTAACCTACATTCTGCTGTTTCTCAGACAAAAGGTACAACACGTTTAAATTGTGAAACGGAGTTCGGTTTGGCCTGATCAGTTCATGTTAACCCCACCTTAGGCACATTCGGTCGCTCTGACAGTGGCCACTTCGGCTCATATCCAATGCCCGCGAACCTTAATCCCAGCTCCTTGCCGATAATGTTCACCTACAGAAAGCAAACACCCATAGGACATCGATTCCACCGCAAGGATTCGTAAATTTTAGCACAGATACCGCGTCAATCCAAGAAGCAGTAGAATTCTCCACAAATGTTTTGATATGAGAGCCTCTCACCTGTTCGAGATGTGTATCAAGCTCGCGTTGGCATGCATGGACATCTTTCAAGGGCGCACCGCTCAACTCGAATTGACCTCCGGGTTCCAGCGAAACACTTGCACCGTCCTGCACAGTTTCAGCAACCCCTTGCATTCTCTATCTCACCTGAGAAATTACACCTTAAATTCGGCTATCAGAGACGGACTTCGACGTTGAGATATCAGAAGTGGTGCACAGAGGGTTCTGGAAGAAAAGTGATTGCACCTTCGATAATCCGATGATGTTTTCACCTTCCATTACTCTCTCATATCCAAAGCGAGACGCCATTCCATCGAGCAGCTTGCTGATTTGATCGAAAGTCATACGCTTCAAAGTGTCCAGCTGAAATCCCAGCTTCTCGTGCTCGGTCCCAATCCTCCACTCCGATTTCGGCTTACATCCGCTTCGAAGGAAGTCCACAAGATCCTCCTTAGTGAGATCCTTCCCCCGTGCGGCGGCTTTGGCAGCTGCTTCTTCAACAGCCGGACTGGACGCAACAATGTGCGATGTATGTCTGCCTTCGTGCGGCCTCCAGCTCGTCCAAGCTGGGGCGGATCTCACTACGTTTCTATCGCGGAAGCTCACCCGCCCCGACCCGTTTGCGCCTCCTCTGCTTCCCGCTCGATGCCACCTCATGTGGACGATGCTACCCATCGCATTCTTTCCAAACGCAGTGACTGTTCCCGGAGCGAACGCCATCTCTCTGAATGGCAACAACCTCGATGTTATTCGCTTCAGGGTCTGAAATCGACTCACACCAGCACCTGCATTGTCATTCAACAACACGGTGGATGAATTAATACCACCTATAATTAACAAGAACCCCGCAAAGCATGTCGAGAACACTCTGCGGAGAGCTTTACCAGGGACAGCATGCTAATGCAAGATGCAAGACGTTGATCGCGTTGCTCGTATGATTGTGTTGTGGTCAACACACACCTAATCCACTGCACATAAATCTCCTCCCTCGGCTAGTTTAACTCCCTCCTCCTCAGATATACAATATGGGAGCCACACTGGCTGCTGCACCCGAACTCACCCACAGAATCACGCAATTGACAAGGATATCAGTGCTCAGTCGAGTTGCTGCATATTTGAAGCAACTCGGCAAGTATTTATGTTTGTTTATTTTCCTCCGACAAGCTTCATTAAAGCATCACGAGCAGGGCACCGACTGAAGCCACGAGAGACGATGATCCATCGAGGCCTGCCTTTCGGGGATTCCTCCACAACGGACCAAGTGTCACGACCAAGTGTCACGAGAACGCTGTCACATGCCTCGCGTGACCCCCCTTTCCAGGGTTCGACACCATGGTGATCCTGCCAGTTGTGCGATTCTCATTCCCCCACAATATTCTATAACCAATTCATGGTAGCTCCTCTTGCCACATAATCCCCAAGTCCACGTCTCTGTCAAGTCAAGATGAGAGCGTAGCAACAACAGTCATTCATGGCTGCGTGGAGCTCAACGGCTGTACAGAGCCAGCCCGTGCAGGGCTGGAGATCGGCGATGGGTGGTTTGTCATTTCCAACCTCATCGCCAAGTGGGAAAAAAGCGGGCCTCTAAAGAAGTTATTTGATAAGCGCAATGGCTTGATTGCAATCAGCCTGGTGATGTAAAACTTCATGCAGCAGCAATCCTCCTTCCTTCCTTCCTGGTGACCGACAAGCTTGCCGGCTGCTGCAGAAAAATGTGGGGTGAATGGGTGCGGTGGCTATGTGAAGGAAAGGGAAGGGAAGGAAAGGAAAGGAAGTGGTAGTGAGATCATCATCATACAATCACACAAAAAGCATGGGGCACTGGCAGGAACGCCGCGACCCACGCGGCAATCGGCGTGGCAACAGGACGCGGGAAATTTTCTCGACGCGAATAAACTCTTGACACGTGTCGGTGACAATAGATGCATTTTGGAGCACGCACTTCGTGTATATGGATGAATCAATAATTGTTTATTCATTCATCCGTGGTTGCCTTCCTAACTCACTAATGCATACTTGGCTGCTGGTTGAGAATCAATCAATCAATCCCCATAATTAATTAATTAAGCATTGCAAGGAAGGAAAGGAATGTGAAATTGAAATCCAAATTGAAGGCTTGGTAGTTCCAAGTGTTTTTTTGAAGCTGCATACTAATTGATTTGGTAGCTTTATACATGTAGCCGAAGGGCAAGAGAATAGTCCCAGGAAAAGTAGTCAAATAAAAAAGTCAAGTTAAAGGAGCCTATGTCACATTGAATTAAATTGAATTACAAAATTAAAGTTTGAGTGTGTGGTTCAAACCAAAGACCTATAGGCAATAAAGATTATTATTATTTTTTTTTGTTTTGTTTTGTTTGTTTGTTTAGTAGAGCCAATGACTACTACTTCAAAGTTCTAAAATAAGTTTATTTTGTAGTATTAATTAAAGAATTTGAATGTATATAGAATAAAATTTTTAATCTTAAAATAATTAAAAATAATTAAAAAAGGATTTCAAAAAAAAATTAATATATTAAATAAATTAAAGTATTATAATAATTATCATAATATAATTTAACCTTTAAATATATTTTTAGGATTTACTAATATAACAAATATATAGTATTATCTTTGCTAGGTTATAGGATTACTTTATCCTCTAAAATATACCTTATAGGAGTTTAAAACTTATCAAGGTTGCTAAAATCATGAATTTGCTTGAGTGTACACTTCTTGCTTGCTTAATATATTTTCTTATGTACATCCAACACCCTAGCATTGTATATAATATTGCACTTCACCAATACCTAGCAATTGCAGATTTGCAGACAAAAGAATGCACAACCTTTGATCTTATAGACAATTTTAGCTAAGTAGGCCAAAATCAAGTTTAAGCTTGCAAAAACACCCTCATAAGTCAATATTAGCAAGATTTTGATGAAACCTGACAAGTATAAAGTAATGGATAATAAAAGACTTCAAATAAAGTACTCGATGATAGTTAACTTTTTCTACCTCAAAGAAGCACTTACTCTGTTGGTTCTCCAACGTGAATTTCAAAATGTGATATTGTCATTAGAGCTCATTAAGAAGTATAATTGATGCTGTGTAGAGATGCTTATAATCTTCAAAGACAAAAATTAAGTTTTTGAGTAGTTGGTTTGAAAAATTTCTTTCTCACTACAAGTTGAAAGTTAGCAAAATATATAGAGAGGCAGACTCAGTTGATCAAGTTGGTATTGATGCAGCAATGCTTGTTTTGTACACCTACATTACAAGTTGTAATTTATGTGATGTGTATAATATGGATAAAATAAGATTATTCTATAATATGATGCCAGACCAAATCATTATTCAATTATAAATTGCAAGCTATAAAAAAAATAAAAAAAAATCAAGGATCATTATTATGTTTACAATAAATGCCAATAGAATCTATAAATTATCATTTTTTTTTATTGGCCATGCTCACAAGCCTTGCTACTTTAATCATTGCACAAATAATCAATTGGATTTTTATTATTATTCTAATAAAAAAGAATAGATAATTAAATTTTTTATTTTAAGAATGGCTAAAAAAATCTTGACAAAGAGATGAATAGAGTATGTTTATGGATCCTTCTCTTCAAGACAATGCACCATCACACTTTACAAATGATCCGATTTCTTCTAACGTTGATATTTGTATGCTTCTTCTAAATATCACTTTGAAGATTTAGCCAATAGATGCTCGAATTATTAGAGCATTTAAGCAATATTATCAACACTTCTATTCACAAAATGTGCTTGACAAGGACAAGCAAAATGAGCTCAATCTAAAGGATGTCTTATATGAAAATCTATAATCTTCTTACAAAAATTCATCTTTTATATCATGAATTTTATCATAGCTCTATATCTCCATCTTTCAAATATATATATAAAGTCTTAACTTCCAAAAATCCCTTTACTTTGTATAAAATATCCAAATTATTACAAAATCCTTTAAAAATATTTTTTTCCTACAAAGATTTTTTTTTTTCTCTAAATTTAAAAAATTCGTATCTCTTGTTTCAAATTTTTAATTTTTTTCAAATTTCTAAATAATGTAGTCTTTATCCTTAAGTTTTATCATAAAAAAATAAACTATAAATCTACTATAGAGTGTTGAGCATCTTAGAGACTGTCACGAACATATACATGTAAGCCTTTAATTACATATATAAATAGGTAGAAGTAAATAAAAATAAATAAAAGTAAGTTAATTCTATAATATTTGCTATAGAAACTTTTTAGAAGCTTAATAGATGCTACTTTGACTTTATACGTGTCTTTAATTGATTTTTTGGATTAGAAACGTGGTCAACTAGTTGGCCATGTGCCACACATGTTGTTAGCTTGAAGACCAAGCTAACTATGTAATCCACATGTAGAAAAACTTGTCTTGTAAGTCAAGGCATGTATCCTATAAAGTCAACACATATTGGAGGTCTTATAGAACATTGTCACGTAGTCCTTAGTTAGATAATATATATAGAGACAAGAATGAAGCGTTCTTCACTCTTGTCAACTCTTTTCTTGCTTCTAGTTTAGTTTCAAGGGTCTCTAGTTTTTTTTATCTTTTGGCAATAGGCATTCATATTTCTTTCTTAATATACATATTGAGTTATTTCTATTCTATCATCTTTCTTTGAGAGAAGTTTTACTTGTTTATTTGTCCTTATCAAATTCTTGTACTTGACAGAGACCCTATCAAGCACTTTAAACTCTAATTTATAAGCATCTAAATACTATTTTTTCCATATCTCAAAAACCTAAACTTCAAATGCTACAATATATATATATATATATATATATATATATATATATATAATTTAATAAAATAATATTATTCATTTTAAAAAAAATTTAGGCAAAATCTTATCAAATTGCTCAAGATATAGCTTGAAATACAACTACTAGTAAATCGGATTACTTACTACCTTTAGATTGTAAGTACTAACTTTAACTTCTTATAACTCCTTTATCTTAGCTTATAATTCATGAATTTATATATAAAAAATATAGCCAAATTTTTTTTTTCTTCAATTCTAATTTCTAATTTTTTATTTCTTTTCATATATGTGTGTTATATCCAAAAGAGTGATAGTAGATACAAAACCAATATCTTAACTTTGAATGCCTATATCTCTTTTATAAAACTCCAAATCATACAAACTTTGCACCAAAATTGTAGCCAAAATCCTAATTATTTTGACCTTAGCATCTTAAGTTTGAATGACCTTGAAAAAATAACCCTAATTTCGAATTAGGCCTTAGGTAGCATCCATGAAGTCCATTGAACATGCCTTTGATAAAAATATGAATCTTAAAGAAAGAATTTTTTAATACACTCTTGTGTCATTCAAAAAAATTAAAAAGTCACTCAAAGATGATATAGTATTAAATTAGAATGATTAATGCCAAAAACAAGAAGACTAAAAAGTCTTGAAAAAAGACTAAAGACTAGAAAGAGATTGATAAGAGTGAAAAATACTTCACTCTTACCTCCATATATACTCTTAACTAGGAATTACATAATAATATTTTATAGGACTTCTAAAATGTGTTGACTTTATAAAACACATATCTTAATTTGTAAGGTAATTTTTTTATGTGTATGCCAAATAGTTAGCTTGTTCTATAAGCTACCAACATGTAATTAATTTGTTGACCAAGTTTCTAACCTATCAATCAACTGCAAACACATATAAAATCAAAGCAATATCTATAAAGCTTGTAGGAAGCTTTTCTAAAAAATATTATGAAATAAATATATTTTTATATACTTCTACTTAATTATATAGATAAATATTAGACTAAATATATATATTTATAACATCTCCTTTCTTTTTATGAAAAAATTCTATAAAAAGTAATGTTCATATGTTGATAAAATCTAAGATGCGATAAATTATATTTGCCATATACTTTGATCCTTGTTCTCTTTGAAGATAGTTGATAAATCTTCTTAGCTATTGATAATGTCTTATACTAAGGCAAGAAGACTACCTTGTTATTTGATTGTTGTTCAGATCTTTCTAATTTACTTCAAATAAAACTTTCTTTATTCCATTTACAAGCTTCTTTGCTAACTTCCATGTCCATTCACTAATATCATATCCGCCTCAATGAACTAGATATTTGAATCTATTTTGGTGCCTCCTTGAATCTAAGACTTTTTCCACTTCAAATTCTTGATTATTATGTATTTGTATAGGATGAAGTGACATTTATCTTCTTTTTGAGATATTATCAAGGACATGAATCTTAAAGAAAGAAATCCTCAATATACTCTTGTGATACTAAAAATAACTATAAAGTTACTTAAAGATGATGTAATATTAAATTAAAATAACTATTGCCAAAAATAAAAAATAGAAAGTCTTGAAATAAGACTAAGAACTAAAAAAGCATTGACAAGAGTAAAGAATGCTTAAGTCTTACCTCCATATATACTCTTAATTAAGACCTATGTGTTGATGTCCTATAGGACCTTCAAATCATGTTGAATTTGTAAGACATGTATCTTAATTTGTACGGTAAGTTTTTTATATACATTACATAGTTGACTTGTCTTATAAGCTATTAATATGTGATTAACTTATTGACAAAATTTCTAACCTATCAATCAATTTCAAATACATGTAAAGTCAAAGTAGCATCTATAAAGCTTATAAGAAGCTATTATAGAAGGTATTATAAAATCAAT